TCATATAAAAATCATTACCCACTAACATTGCGTTGGCTCGATTAGCATCACCCGCATATTAGCATATGAGTTGTGTTTTTTTTTCTAAATTTCAAACCCAAAAGCTTACCTATCACCTGCAGCACCTGGGACAGCAGCTTTGGAGGAGCGTCTGGATCATTCTTCAACCCATTCAAAGCCAACAGCCACAGGGACGCATCGTTTTGGCCCAGCTTCCGGCAGCTCTTCAGTAAATTCTCGTAGTCACTGTTGTTCAAATAGTGCCTAATGATCAGGTGATGCAGCTTATCCTCTTCGTACAGGTACATTACCCCAGGCCAAAATTGGTACACCCGACACTGGATCAGCACGTGGTTCTTGTCGTACCGATCGGCATCGTTCTTGAGTAAGTTCAAAAGTTTACTCTCTATTGCCGGTGCCTCCCGCCATCGGTACAGATAATGCTCTATTAGAGTATTGTACACAAACTTGCTACAGGACGGTATGTTCATGATGAGATGCTCCAGAAAATCGATCAGCCGTTCATCGTTCGAGAACAAGTGTATAAAATCTTCCGGATTGCCACGCTCATTATTGAACCCGTTGTCGAGCATGGTTTGTATGTCGTCACCGAAATGGTCCTGAAGGGCATTCGAACCCAAATCCGTACGAACATAGTCCGTACAGAGCTTTTTCAGCAGTTGAATCGTCCGATCTGGACAGTGCTCCATCAGAAGGATGCCGTACTTTTTCACATTACTTTCAGCTTCGTGGAAATCGAGTTGCATAATGTACATCAAAGCATCTTCGAAACGACGAAGATCCTCCGTTAGGATGCTAAGGCATAAGTCATGCTTTTTGTGAGCCTTTGCCAGGGACATGGCTTGCTCGACGGATGCATTTCGACACACCTTGATTGCAACGTCCACATCAAATAAGTTCAACTTGTTCTCGTTCTCCAGGAACTGTTTCAACTGCTCGGTACGATCCAATCGCGTGAAGCAGTTCAATAGCAGCGTTGTATGATCGGCTGTTGCCCTACCAGATTTGTGAATCGCTTGCAGATAATCGGTTAGGTAGTGTATGTGACGAGCATCTAGAAATCTTCTAATCACGTAAGACGGTTCCAAGAAGCCAATGGTTTTGATATACTGATCAACCGATCCGGAAAAGTCTCCTTTGCTGTAAAGGTGATCCCCGTATTGTTTGAATATTCCAGCCAATCCATCAGCGTCATATTGATTGCTTTTGGCTATTCTAACTGCTATATCGTACAGATTTTTCTTAAATAGCAAATTCAGTTTGCTTTGAAGATCTTTTTCGTCCAAATGGAAAATATGTTTGCTTTCGGTCAATATGAAGCAGGAACCGAACTCCGTGAGTATCGCCGCAACTTCTTCGATTGGGCACGTGAAGACGATAAACTTATTCTGGATGTCTATCACGGTGAGCACAAACCCGCCTACATTCATTCCGGTGGTTCGAGTGTTCTTCGATACGATCAGCAAATGGGACCGGAACCACTGGAGGAGCGTTTTCTTGCCTTCCAGAGCATAGCAAGGACCACGTCCATCCGAAGTGTAGCAATAAACAGCATCCTCTCGTCCTACCATGAAGTGACCTTCGTTGTGACCCGTCTGAAGAGCACAGCATCCAACCGGGGAACTGATTGTATCCAGAATTATCCTCATCTCTTTATCGCGAGTTTGAAGATTGTACAGGTAAACACCCGAATCGGAACAGACGAACATTTGCGTAATCTGTAATAAAGTCAAATTTCATACTTACTCTAAATTAATTCTCCCCCTAATTTCAGTCAGTCTTATCCTCACCTTATTGAAATGCTTAAACGCAATTCCCGTAATGTCCGTCGTTCCTGCCATGAGCTGCTTCAGCGTCTTGGACCGATCTCTACTAATATCCCCCCGGTACAGCGAAATGCTTCCCTTCGAAAACCCAATCGCCATGAACTGACCACCCTCGGAAACAGCCAGGGCCGTCGGCATTGCAACCATCGTCTTCGCGGTTCGCAAGCACTGCGCCCCAGTTATCGAGTTCATCTTGGACAGGTTCCATACCTTGAACGATGGTCCATTGTCTTCCCCAACCGTGACCAACATGTTATTCTGCTTAGAAACGTCACATAGCAGAATCGATCCTTCGTGGGCCTTGAAGCTGATCGGTTCCCAAGAGCGGCTAAAGCTGTGGATCATGCCCTCCGAGTCGCATATTACAATTGCATTGTTACCACTAGCAGTGGCCGTTATCCGAGCGTCTTGTAAAGTTTCCGCAACCCGGTCCTTATCAACGCCTTTTCGAAGGTCGAAGAAATTAAATTTTCGCCACTGGATAAAAAAAAAACAGAAAAGAGGCGTCACTGTCTGATAGTTTATTCGCTGCCGGGATGCGAATTGGACGAGAAACTTACCTCGAAAATTGCCATCTTGGCGATATTGATCCTTTTTCCGACGATCAAACGGGATAAAACAGATTTTAATAACAAATTTTTTACTTAATTTTTTAGAAAAACTGAAGCCTCTCGGTTGTGATGATTAATCGAACTTTTTGTCTCAACGGATCAAACATTTCATAAGGGTGCAACTGCTTCTTCAGTCAGAAATTTCCCGCAGATAAAAGTTCACTCCTGCGAACTAACCGAACCAGCTGGTAGAAAAAACACTCCTTTACTAGATGGCATAGTTAATTTGCATGTGCAAACTTTTATTCGCGAGAAATCGGTGGATAAAGTAATTGTTTACAAGAATAATTTCGTGCTTTTGAAATGTTGATGTTGATAGTCCACTTTTTATCAGCCGCTGTCAACATATTTCGAGTTCGAGAATTTTTTACTCGGGTGTCTGTTTTCATACAAATAGAGCTGTACCTGAACCTGCTGATAAAACAATGGTTTCTTAAGGCTGTGAACCATTTGCCGAGTTAAATTTAACTCGTGGTTAAAAGTGACATTTCGAAAGTTATTTTCTATGTTCGAAAATCCCCGTGCTGTCGATCGACCGGTTTTCGAGCCACGGTTGTCAAAGTTTAACTTCTTGTCTGTCAGAAATAACCATGCTCGGATAGCAGGGTTAATCAATAACTTTCCATCTGTCAAATTTTAACCAAAAGTTAAAAAAATTCGCCAAATGGTTCAGAGCCTAAATAATATGATGTCGTTTTCAATGAAGCCCTCTAGTAAAAATATGGACGACTGTCACCACAAAACTGAAAAAAGTTTTTTTTTTCTTCTGTCATCTGGCTCAGACCTACACTCAAAAAATATTGAAATCTAAATAGTATAAAAGTTACGCTATTACTGATAAATTGAACTATTCCCATTTTGCTTGAAATTTAATCAATTTGACATTAAACTCAGTTTAATCATAACGAATGATTAAAAATTAATCCTCTCTTTCTAAAAAATAAGCATCTGATATTAATCCCAGTTTAATCATGGTTGATTAGATTGTAGATTATCTTTTTTTGAATAGATTTTAATCATTTTTGATTCTATTTTAATAATTTTTTATTGAATTTTAATCTTTTTTGATTATATATCAGTATTGAAAAAGAATAAAATTTAATACTGGAAAGATTATTTCGAATATAATCATGCATGACTACTGCCGAAGTATATAGCATCATGGGGAACATCGAGGGTGAAGGTGTGAGAAGCTGAACTACCGGAATTCGGATAGCTGACTATTCTCGCTCATGGATCCAATTGGATGGTACCGTTTTCTGGCCGTGACTTTGAAAAATCAAATGAAAACCTTCGATTCTTTATATATATCCGAGTCATCATCATCTATATCAGTCATCACTGCCACTAACAGCCTCAACCCTGCATGCTTAATAATACTTGTACATTTTTTTAATAATAACTTCTGTTCAGGCTTTGTTCACACAAATCTGGAGAATTTATTCAACCACACAACATGTGTTGGCTAACCCAAGTAACCAACAAGCCCGTTAATCGCCCTTTTTGGTATATAAGGCTGCTATACGACTGATATAAAGTTCGGAAATTCTATATTTACCTTATATCGCAAAAAGGGCGATTATCGGATAGTTAGCGGGCTTGATGGTTACTTGGGAAGGTATGTTGAGAAGCTTTTATTCGACTTCCTTGAGTTGTAACAGAGCTTATTCGATCATTTTTTTTTATTATTCAGTGTTTATTAGACATGTTCTTCCTTAGATAGTGATGATGTATACGCTTGATTATCATTTGAAGCTATTTGAAGTAACGTTTAAATTAGACTCTATTATACATTTATAATAGCGGCGCCGGTGGTGTAGTGGTAAGCGTGATTACCTCTCACCCCAGCAGGCCTGGGTTCAATCCCAGTCGGCGCCGCCGGGATGTTCTGAGGCATAACATCTCTGATCACGTCTTCCTTCGGAAGGGAAGTAAAGCCGTTGGTCCCCGGTTCATGAGTTGATGAGTCGATAGGTAGGGTCCAGGTGTGGGAGCTGCCTCCCTGGCGTCGGTAGCATTGGTGCTCAGCACGGAAAACAAGATCGACGGAAAACAAATAAAAAAAAATATATATATATACATTTATTATTAAACGATTATTCAACTGCAGGAAAATTAACCTGAAAAACGGTAGAGGAACAACAGACAGCGTTGTCTTTCCTATAGTAATTTGTTTTCATTATTTCTGACGAGGCACGCACCATACAACAGATGCTAGAAAATGTGTTACATACATTTACATGTTCCGTTGCATGGGTTCCGAACCATGTACCTTCCCGATCACCAGCCGCTTGCCTTGCCATCTGAGCTATCCTAGAATACATCATATGGGCTGCTCAATCTATATATATATGAATGAATTTCTGTCTGTCTGTCTGACCCTTATAGACTCGGAAACTACTGAACCGATTGGCGTGAAATCTATATATATAATAATGAATTTCTGTCTGTCTGTCTGTCTGTCTGACCCTTATAGACTCGGAAACTACTGAACCGATTGGCGTGAAAATTTGTATACAGGGGTTTTTGGGGCCGTGGAAGGTTCTTATGATGGTTCGAGACCCCTCCCCCTTCTGTAAGAGGGGGCTCCCATACAAATGAAACAGAAATTTCTGCATAACTCGAGAACTAATCAAGCAAATGGAACCAAATTAGGCATGTGGGGGCGAGTGTGGGGGTATAAGGAGATAATCATAGGGGGTAGCCCCTTAGATAATAGGGGGGGGGTTACGTACAATATAGCATGCTTTTTTTTAAATCGGCGCATAAACTCAAGCTAATATTGAATCTCGAGCAAGACCGGGCACTCTCAGCTAGTATTCAATAAAAGCTTGCTTGAAACTGAATACCTATCAGCACTCCCGATCGTCCCAAGGTTCAGTGGGAATCATTAATTCATTCATCGTTGTTTTACATGAGACCAATTCTACCTCTCCATCTCTCCAATTTCCAAGGAAAGGATGCTGGGTTATTTATTAAACTAAATCAACGAATGTGTTGTCGTGAGTGATGTGATCGATGATTAAGATTTAGAACACAAATAAAAAAGGTTTTAGCTTGGGATTGAACTCGCGACCTTCTACTTGTAACGCGGAAACGGTAACCACTTCTCTACTGATTTCGTCTAGTCGAGCTATTTTGCTGACTGTATTCACCTTTATATAGCAATATTGTAAAGCAATTCAATGAAATCTAATAATGGAGCTAGAAAACATTTATTAGACGTCTAATGAAGCATTTTATTGAATCAATTGAAAACAATCGATTTAAAGCGTCAATTTATGTGCAAATTACACTCATTCAGTTTGTTATTGGATTAAACTTCTGGTGTGGAATCAGGAAGACAGTCAACGTTTATAAAGCTTTTAAATAGTAAATAAATCAGATCAGAGCAAACAACGGAATAAAGGCGCATCTATCGCTCTCAATGAGGTTTTTTCAGCACCTAATTCGAATCCCGTTTTATTCAGCATTGCACCAACAATCAATACGAAACTAACGATTTTAAATTGGCTCACTACTTGACTAGCCTATTGGTCCCAAGCAAACGATTAACGTATCCCATTCTAGTCGAAATTCTAGTACTACGCAATGTTTGTTTTGATTCGCTATGAAAGTTTGACAGATAAAATTAGGGGTTATTGGTTTTTCCTATGTTTCGAGGGGTGAATCGATTAGCTTGGGACCGAAGAGAGTACCAGAGCTGAGCCAAAAAGTTGAGCATGTTATTTCGGGACCTTCTAGTCTTAGAGTTACCGCTATGATTGTACACTGTTATACCAACAATCAATACGAAACTAACGATTTTAAATTGGCTCACCACTTTAGTAGCCTATTGGTCCCAAGCAAACGATTAACGTACCCTATTCTAGTTGAAATTCTATTACTACACTATGTTTGTTTTGATTCGCTATGAAAGTTTGACAGATAACATCAGGGGTGTGTGGATTCATGCAGAACATGCAGGGGTGAGTGAAATAGCTTGGGACTGCTTGGGACCGTTGTTCTGGTACTGAGTGAGCCAAAAATAATAATGATTTTCTTCGGGACCCAGTGGTCTTAGAGTTACCTCTATGGTTATACCACAGACAAAGTTATACAGCACTCATTCAATATGTATGCTTATTTGTGACTCTGAATTGTTTGTTGGGTTACCTTATTACGTGACGATGGATTCCACATTCGTTGAATACTTCATCGATGCTCATCAGCGAGATTTTGTTATCCTACTTCACCAACAACTCGTAGATGACGCGTCTACGCTTCGGATCTGGTGGCTCGGCACTTTTCTTTTTAGATTCATCATTTGGGTTCACACTACTCTGTATGAGCACTGAAACTCATAACAAACTCATGTATTCGACCTGCCGATTCTCAAACTCCGCTCCACCGAGAATCTTGTGTACGACTGTTCCCTGCAATAATATTGATATTAGGTACCCATTTCGTCTTTCTCATGCAGTGAGAGGGCCAATGCCCGTTTGAATTACTAATCTGCACATCTGCACAACAACAAAGGAGTCGCAGGAGGATCTGCCATTATCAGCGTTTTGTTATGGTTGAGGATATGGTTGCCAGTAAATATATTTTTTCGGTTGAAGTTTTGACAGCTCGGTTAACACGATGAAACACCCAGAAACACCTTCCGACACCCAAAAACACACATGAAGCACAATAAGCACAGACATAAGGTGGCAGAGTGACTTACCCCCTGTACTCGTGAGTATTTTCTACCCAAAATTAAGTTCAATTGACTCAAATTTGAGAATATCTCATATAGAGTCGGTGTATAATGAGTCACGCCAAGTCTACCTATTGAACTGTCAAACCGACTACCTGTAGTGCAAAGTAAACCAGCATTACGATGCTATGAAAGGTCCACGAAAGGTATTGCAATTAAATATAAAATATAATCGAAGAAATGATCATATACACGCAGTGAGCATTACATTTGTCATGCGATACGTTTTGTGATGATCAGTAATGACAATTTTTATTATTTTTTTTAAGATAATTCGACAAAATCACTGATATAATGATTT